AGAAAACAGAAATTTGTGTGAAAAGGCTTTGAAAAGTTAAATGCATTTAAATGCTGTTTAAATTTATATTTTCTCCCATCCTATCCCCTTGCCTTTGTAAACAAATATCCTGAATTTTTTATCTATTATTTACTCCTTTTTAAAAATAAGCTTATCACATTTATAGTATGCCTAAACAGTATATTCTTTAGTTTTACTTGGTTTTAAGTTTTCTGAAAATGGCATCCTGCTGTAGTCTCCTAAAACTTGCTTTTTGTCACTCAACATAATGCTTCCAAGATTCGAACATTTTTTTTTACTCTTATTTGTAATTCGCTGATTTTCATTGCTGTTTTAAAATTCAGGTGTGACACCACCACAATTAATTTTTCCATTTTCCTATTAGTTAAAAATCTGGGTTGTGTCCATATTTTTTTGTATTACAAATTGTGCTCCTGTGAACATTTTCTAGTGTATCTAAAAATGGAATTACTGAGTTGAAAGGTATGCAATTTTTCAGTTGCAAGGCGATCCCAAATTCTTTTTCAAAGAAGCTGTACCAACTTATTCTTCACCAGCTATGTATTGGAGATACCCCAGACTCACTTCCTACACAGCAGTTCTTAATTTTTAACCACTCTCCTAGGTGTAAAATGGTATCTCACTGTGATTTTGATTTGCATTTCCCTCACTATTGATGAGGCTGAGCATCTTTTCATATGCTTAGCGGTTAAACATGTTTCTTCTTTTGTTAAATACTTGTTCAGACATTTTGTCCATTTTTCTATTAGGTTGTTTTTCATATTGATTTATTCTGGATACTAAATCTTTCTTACTTATGTGTATACCAAGTACTTCTGCTGGTTTGTGCTTTGTCTTTTTACTTTCTTCATCTTTGATGATTGGGAGTTATTTTAATAGCCAAATTTATCAGTCTTTTCTTTTATGATTATTTCTTGTACTTTAAGAAATTCTTCTTTGAGAACTGACTGTGGGTGGTGAACACACGGTGTGATATATTGTGACGTGTTACAGAATTGTACACTTGAAACCTAGGTAACTTGACTAACCATTGTCACCCCAATAAACTTTAATTAAAAAAAAAGAAAAAGAAAAATTCTCCCCTACTTCAGGGTCTGAAAGATATTCTCCTACATTCCCCCCACCCCCCATGTTTTAAAGTTTTGCTTTTCACATTGAAGTCTTTAATCCACCTGAAATTGATGTGTGTATGGTGTAAGGTGAGGATTCATATTATTGATTTTTTTCCCCCATTTGGATAACCTGTTGTGCCAGCACCATATATTGAATAGTTCCTTCTTTCTCCACTAATTTGAAGTTCCTCTTCTCTCACTATCATGGTTTCATCTAGGTACTCTGTTCTACCCCATTGATCAGTTTGTCTATACCTGTACCAGTATCACAGTCTTAATTACTATAGCTTTAAAATAAACCTTGCTATCATATTTTGAACCAGATTCCTCTCCTCATCCCATACCCCTAACACTTCACAGTATCTTGGCTATTCTTAGCTCTTTGCTCTTCCACATATATTTTTAAACCCGCTTTTCAAGTTCTACAATAAAAAACCCTGATGAGATTTTGATTGAAGTTGCATTGAATTTACAGATAAGTATGGGGAGAATTGAGGTCTTTACTATATTAAGTCTTCCTATCTATAAACATGGGCTCTTAATTATTTAGGACTTCTTAATGTCATTTAAGATAAGGTTTCAAGATATTCTGTGTAAAAGTCTTGTACATTCTTTGATATATTTTATTCCTAGGCACCTTATAGTGGGTTTTTTTGTTGTTGCTATAGAAATCCTGCCTTTGAAAATGTATATTTCCTAGATATTTTTTTTTGCTGATATATAGAAATACACTTGCCTTTTTCATTTTGTTCAATTAGCCAGACATCCTACTAAACTCTCTTCCTACTGCTAATAATGTGTTTGTAAGTACTTTGAGTTTTCTATGTAGATAATTATATCATTTGCAAATAAGAATAGTTTTGATTTTGCCTGTCCAATCCATATACCTTTAATTATTGTTTATAGCCTGTTGGATAACAATTCCTTATAATTTCTTGAGACTTGCTAGTACATGATCAGTATTTGTAAATGTTCCATGTGTGCTTAAGAAAAAAATGTGTATTCTCTAATTATTGGGTAAAAAGTTATATATATGACTGCTAGATCAACCTTGCTAATTGTGTCCTTTAGATAGTCTACGTCTTACTAATCTCCTGTCTGCTTGACATATCAATAATTGAGAGAAGTATGTTATCATTGGTCTTTCTCCCTCCCTGAAGTTATATTAATTTCTGCTGTATGTATTTCAAGTACATCACAAGTTTAGGAGTGTTGCTCTTCCTGGCGAATTGAATAGTTGTATCATTATACACTGACCATCTCTAGTCCTAATAATGCTTTTGTCTGAAAAGCTATTTTGTCTGATGTTACTGTAGCTGCTCCAGATTTCTTTTAGCAGTTTGCCTGACATATCTTTTAATAGGCTTTTACTTTCAGCTTTTATGGTGCTTCCACTTAAGTGGATCTCTTGTAAATTGTATATGAATGGATTTTGTTTTTAATCCAATTTGGAAATAATAGACTTTTAGCATGAAAATGTATTGCTTTAGTCCTTAGGCCTAAGTTAGGAAGTTTTTCCTCCAGAGAGGATTTTCTTTTGCTTCTACTGGTAGCATCTAGGTTTACTGTAGTCCCCGGAGAGTCCTGGCTGATTGTGGGGTAGCAGGCCTGGCTTCCTTGCTTTGCTGGCTGCCCAAGGTTCAATGTCCCCACTGAAGTGTGTTATTGGCATCTGCCCTCAGCCCGTCCTGTCTTTCTGTCACTGTCCAGCTACAAGGATTCATTATTTGGGGTGAGGCTGGGGGTTGTTGTAGACCTCTTGTGAGATCAGGGATCCTTCAAGGAATGTTTCTTATGCAGCATATGTTTGTTCTGTAATGACAGGATCCCCTAGAGCACCGAGTCAGCCATAATACCAGACGTGGAAATCTCTTGTATTTTCCTTGTTTTACTTTTTCCACAGTACTTATCAATAGCTAATATACTGTACATTTGTTTATTGCCTTTCTCTTTTCCCTAGAATGTAAGCTTCACGAGGGCAAGGATTTTTCCTGGGTTTGTTTATTGCTGTATCTCTAGCATTTAAACCACTGCCTGATACTTAGTATGTGCTCAGTCAGTATTTGTTAAGTGAATGACTGTGGAGGGTGGAGAAAGTGGTGTAAAAAAGCCATGCCAAGCATTGAACTTCTACCGTGAAATGCTCTAATACATTTGTCTATGACCATCATCACAAGTTAGGTGCCCTTACTTTTGCCTAGACTGTTGTAGCCCATTTCCAATTGGTCTCTCTGTCTGTACTTTGAGGTCTATCCATCCTTTCCAATTCATTCTTCACATTGCTACCAGACATTTTTCATAAATACAGATCTGATTATCTCACTATTCTGTCTCAGCTTAGTCTGTAGAATAAACTCTGGTTTCTTTAATGTAATGTGGCATTTTATTCCCAACATAGTTTCTAACCTTATTTCTACACTAAGCATTCTATGCTCTAGTCATATCAGAACACTTGTAGGCTCTCTTAGTATGCCATGTCTGTGTTTTTATGTGACCACGTCCTTATTTACAGGGTTTCTTGAGTCTGAAAAGTCATTCTTTTGTTTATATTTATCAAAATCTTAGTCATCCTTAGATTCATCCAAGGCCATCTCCTTCCTAAAGACTAACTAACATTCACTGAGAAGACTCATTTATTTCCGGCATTTTATTTTGCTATTTTGGTACTTTTCATAATGCCTTGTATTCTAAAAAGCTGTCTGCCTGTCTTTCCCTTTGATGTTTTATACATAATGGATCTTTGATAAATAGTTGTCAAACTTGAATTTTCAATGTTTGGGGTTGTCTGATGCTATTTTTTTCTTTCTGCTATGGTAAACTAATCTTATCTTTTGTCTTCAGTTATCACACTCCATTAACAACTTTCAAATCCCAATTCTCCGGTTTCTACTCCCTTGGCTAGTCAACATCTCATCTTCCTTAAACTGAATATGTCATCTCCATCTCTTCATGGTTCCCCCTCCCAAAGCAGTACCTCTCATAGCTTTCCTTCATAAAGACACCATCATTCTTCTAGTTACATAAACTCAAAACCTTGGTGAAATCTGTATCATCCTTTGTCTTAATCTTCTGACTTCAAGTAGTCACAAAGTCCTGTTAATTTCTCCTTTAAGGTGTTGATCAGCTCCGTAACTCCTCCATTTTAGCCAAGAAGACCTTGGACAACAGTTTACACAGGAGACTTGTCCAAAGGCCTATCTCCACGATTCCTTTGTTTCCAAATGTCTACAAATGAGGATGATTTGAAAGATGGTGGATAAATTTGCAGTCTGCTCTTTTCGTTATATAGCTTTGTATTAGCCTTGGTTTTTATTTTCTTACATCTTGAAATTATATTTGGAATTTCTCACTTTTGATTGAAATATAGCTGAAAACAAATGAATTTTAATGGAGCGTGTTGAATGTTGATCATGTTGTCCTATAGTAGTTTAGAAATATTTAGCAAGGAATATTCCATTTGATTCATTTAAATGAAATGTTGTGGTTTGAAATTTTGTATATAATTTTCAACCACAAAGACTCTGTTGTAGGCAGCAAGCGGACAGTTTATAATTTGTACACTTTTTAAAATTATTGCTCATTACTTCTATAGGGTAAATAGAAATGATAGCTTTAATTCCTTTGTAATTATTTATATGATATAATTTTGAAAGTAAGATGTTTCCATAGCAAAGATATTTATGGAAAGTTAGTGTTAACTTCAAGGATGTCAAATGCTGTAACTATGTAGAGGGTACTTAATATTTGATTATAGTTTTGATGAACATACAGAAATGATATTGTCATATTATAAGAACTTTGTTTCCATTTTAGAGCATGTCAAAAGAATAAACATAGTAATTTGAATGCTCTATTTTTTATTTCTAGAAACCAGCAAATATCCTAGTAATGGGAGAAGGTCCTGAGAGGGGGAGAGTCAAAATAGGTAGGTAATTTTTTCTAAAAGAATTTATTAAGAAACTGAAGTGACTGCAAAGATGATTTCCCTTTTTAATATTCTTATGTAAGTAGCTAACTTTAAAATTACTTCCTCATGATATTTTTAGAAAAGATGTTGGGAAATGCAGAGATAGTTTGTGAAACCCCTCAGGTTTATTCACAAAATAAGGTTTTCTAACTCTAAACTGAGGCAAGCAAGCCCACAAAAAATTCATGCCCATAAAAAATCCCACACGAGTGTTTATGCCACTGTTACTGCCCTGCACGGTCCCCCTGAACATAATCTCCTAAATCTTGCTTTGTCTCAGCTTTACCAAGTGTTCTTTCCCTGCATACATCCTTCCCACCCTGACCTAATACACAGAGATTTTCACGGATGTCTTGCTCCCTGCCCCACACAGGTCCTGTGCCAGGTACCAACATATGTTTTCCAAATGAATATATATGTTTATAGACTCTCTTACTTGCCAGTCTTTGATTAAGGCACTGGCAGGAGTCTTAATCTGTATATTAACATATTGTTTGCGGGAAACGAGTAAACTCGTCATAGCACTTTTTATACCAAAGCGCGGGAGACGAGTTAACTCAGGTATAGAGAAAAATGCCCGTTTACAAAGTGTTAAAATTTCCTTTAGCCCTGAAGTTTCTAAAAGAAATTGGCATCATTTATACCCATGACATATTTGGGAGAAAATGAGCTAAGAAATTCTTCATTTTAATTTTTTAAAAGATTTTTTTATACCTCTGTCTACTTGATTTTTTTCTTTTTTTAATTTAATTTTCAATTACCATTGATATACAATATTATATTAGTTTCAGGTGTACAAAAACAGTATAGTGATTAGATATTTATATATAATACCTCACAAAGTGATAACCCCAGTAAGTCTATTACCCATCTGACACTGTACATATTTATTACATATTCTAATTTCTTTTAATAGAAATTATATTTATTGAATATTCAATGCTTTTTAGGAGGATTTTAAAATAAATTTTGTTTCATCAACCTGCTGTCTTTGCTCTTAGAATATATCATGCTAAGGGTGGTGCAAAATTGTGCTAATATGACCTATTGCAAATTCATTCTGTCCTACTTCGACCAAGTCTGCCCTGCGGCTTGGTCTTCTACTTCTTCGATTAATTCGCTACCCCATTTCCTGAAGAAGCTGTTTTAAACCAACTTCCCTTTTTTTAAACCTCTACTCTGAGTTTACTGAGATTCAGTCATTCAAAAGTTTTGTTGTTGTTAGTTAAGAACCAGGTTACTGCTTTCCTCTTTTTCTCCCTTGCCTGCCTCTTCCCTCTGCATCCTCTTTCTACCATGCCTCCCTTGTTTCTCGCTCACTCTTACCCTCTTTTTCTTACAGGCTTTTTTTGAGTACCTACTTTTTGCTAGCCTCTGGTGAAAGTAAAGGAGAGAGAAAGGACGGTCCTCCTGTGAGAGACAGTAAAATAAGCAGTTTACTATCCAGTGTGATAGATGCTTTCATGTTACCTCATTGTTTGACACAGCTACCCTCTATGGTAGATGTTGCAGATAAGCAAAGCTGGATTTAGAGAGGTTGTAGCTTGTTCAGCCTTTCCAAGTCCAGAGCCTGGAATTCCAAGTCCAGAGTCTCTTTCCTATAAACATTACTATCTAGTAATATCAAAGCTACCTGGTGTGACCTCACTGACCACTTTTCGTCAGCACAGCTCTGCCTTTGAAACTGTCAGAGAAAAGAGTGACTCTTCCCTCCTATGTCTCATCTAGTGCCTTTCTTAGCTTCTAAATGTCTTCCTCCTGTCCTTAAGCTCCTCGTATTACAGGATCTCCATTCTCCCCTTCTCTAGTTTCTCCTCTTAACCTTTAAACATTCATGATTCCCAATCTTAAAATAAATCTTCTCATATTCATTTTGTTTTCTTTGCCATTTGTTCTATTTTTTCCTTTGTTCCTCTACTTCTAGAACACATGATATTCACCCATGGGTTCCACTCACTCTAATTTGTTATAATCCAGCCTCTAATTCCATCCCTCAATTGAAACTTCTCTCTAAAAGGACACCTTTGACCTCTGTCTTACCAAATCTAGTGGCCTGTGTTTAGTCACCATATTCCTTTACTGCCTTAGCCATGTGCTCTTCTGACCATTCTGGCCTTGAGACTCTTTTTTCTTGGTCTATATGACATCGCATAATTCCAGTTTTCTATATATTACTTTTGCTGTTACTTCTGTATTTTATTCACTATTGCCTCTCACTCCTTTTAAACTTTTGTTTCAAGACACCCTAGGCACTGGCTTGGGACATGGCCTCCCTGTATAATTACTTTTTTTGGGAATTGATAAGTTGTGGCCTTAAAATCTTGGGTTGTATGAAAATTATTCTAAGAACTGGATCTCAGATTCTGTTCTCTCACCCTAGGTAAACTCTGATCTCTATTTAGTAGCCCTGTTGGTAATTTATACTCCATTATTCCAAACCAAATTCATCATCATCTTCTGCTTTAAGCACCAGTCAGCACATTTAACCCAGTCACCCAAACTTAAAGTCTTCTCCTTACCACTCCCAAATATCTCCACTATTTCTCAACATAAATCCTACATTCTAGCCAGGCTAGTTAACTGCCTTACTGTTAAAGAGTTTTAGTATTATAATTCTATCCAAGATTAGGGATAAAACCAGGGTTAAAAGTAAGCAATAATTAATAATAAAGGTCAAGTAAACAAACAATCTAGTTGTTAATTTGCTTTAAATTTTGTCTTAATAGCACATTATTTTTAAAAAATTTGTGATCCTCTGGTGCCTATGCTTAACACTTTAATACAGTTCTTTTTTGACTGATAAGAATAATCTAATGGAAAACACATTATACCCTTTCCTATATCTTAGCCTTCCCTTCCTCAGCAGCCCAAAGCCTTCCCAGGCCTTGCCTAAAACGTTTATTGCCTTCTTTACTGTTCACAATAATTCATCATTCAGAATCCAGCTCAAAATATACTTTTCAATTTAGTCCACTTCGGCAAAGGTGTATCAAACATCATTCCAGGTGAAACCATGAAAGAGACATAGACTCTTCCCTCAAGGGACTTAGAGTCAAGTAGAAACTAGTAGCAACTTTCCTTTATTCTTACAGTACTTACCCTATTTTATTTTTGTCTACTCTATATATCTTGTCACTCACTCATGTAAGCTCCTTAGTGGTAGACAATGTCTTTTGCTGTTTTTCTCTCATTTGATACTGCCTAATTAGCACCCACACCAGAATTTTACTACTGCTACCAATCAAATTAAAAATTTCAGTCATCTAATTGTAGGAAAACAGCTGTTAGTGATGTTTAGGCTAGTTACCTTTTGTATAAATTGGTAACTATTTGAAAAATGGTTTGAAATTCCTTTGAAGTTTATACAATAAACAGGAATTGTTTTTAAGAATGTTTATTGTGTCCTCTGGCCTTGATTTTATTTGACAGTGAATAGATGTGGCTTAGCTAAAACTAAAGAGGTAGAGAATAAGGGGAGAAATACTGGCTTTGGCCTTTATTTCAAAACAAAATGCGTTTCAGCGGGCGGAACAGCATTCCATCATACAACTTTGCCATCAGCAACCATTAGCTTCTGTTAAATATATAAAGCCGTGCTTTGAAGTGGGGGTAATATTGGTAAAATGGTTTTAAATACTTGTTTGCTATATGGAAATTTAGTTAAGAAAGAGTAGGCATTAGCACAGGCTTCCTTGTGTAGCTTTATTTTTAATACCTGGCTTCTCCAAAGCATTTTCAGAAAGTCTTATAAATTATTAAACTTTAAAGAAATAATATCACTGTAAATTAAAACTTTAATATATGTTATATTATAACATATTAGTTTTAGATTAAATGATTCTCTAGTTGAAATTTTATGTACTATTTGTGCTTTTATAGTACACTGAGGCCCCTTATAATAAAAATATACTGTGTATATTATATGTTTCAAATTACAGAGGTTTATAATTCTTGTGATTTTGCCTGTGTGACATACAATTATGATATGTATAACTTATAGGACGTCAGGTCAGTGGTTAAGGATGTAGCTGCTAGATTCTAACATGGTTTTTGTGTGAGTACTGGTCTCTTTACTGACTGTCCCTGTGACCATGGGCAATTCTTTTAACTGCTTTGGGCCTTAGATTCTTTATCTCACAAGTGGGGACCAAAAATACTTACTAAACCAGCATTCTTATGATGAACATATTAAGTAATATATGATGTACCAGTATATAAAAACAGTTGGTAAATTCTACAGTGCTTTGTAGATATAATATATTTCTTGTTTATGAAGTCTTAAGAAAATAAGATAGTCTCTGGGACCTTATTTAGTAATAAATATTATTTTTACTATTTTTGTCCTCCTTTAATAATATTTCAATCAGCTTTGGTATAGATCTTTGTTAAATGCTGAATTACAACAAATTATCTCATAGATCTGTACGTGTTCTTGGAAACGTGTGTGATGTTGCTGGTAACTGGCTCTCTGGGGGAAAAAGCCCCAATTTGTAGCATTTGCCATTTCCATGATGTAAATATTCCCACCGGAGCCAATTTCAAATCACCAACATGATGCCACTGAACTCAGAGTTGAGAAGAGATGTGTACAGATTAGCTTTCATGAGTCCTTAAGAACCTACCCCAGTGCACCCTGAACTATAAGATATAGTCCATTTTTAGATGTATAGTCATACAGAAGTCATAATTAATTATGGAAACTTTTAGACTATCTTTGATTTTAAAAAAGAGTCTAAGAATATTATTGTAACAGTCTCTTAAAGACAAGAATCTGAAGTCAGATCTGGATTCTAATTCTTATTCTGTATTTAATAGCTCTATGACTTTGGACAAGTCAGAAAAGCTTTAACACTCAGTTTCTTCATCAGTAAAATAGGCACAATAATAGTATGTACTTCAGAAGGAGAAGTCTAGTACCTGGTACAGACCACTGGTTGAAAAGGGAGGAAAAGTATTACATAAGGTTAGCAACGATTGTCATCAACCTTGCATGGTTCCAATAGCAAGCCAAACTGAGTTTGATATTAATTTATTTTATTTTTTAGCTGACATGGGTTTTGCCAGATTATTCAACTCTCCTCTCAAGCCACTAGCAGATTTGGATCCAGTAGTTGTGACGTTTTGGTATCGGGCCCCAGAACTTTTGCTTGGTGCAAGGCATTATACAAAGGCCATTGGTAAGTCGGTCTAGAATGATTTACTGTGTTAGTATCAAATTATCATAAATACCAAATGGCATAATAATAAAGCTGCTTTGTAAAAACCACTTTATATCTCTTTGTAAAAGTCCTGTTGTCTTCTATATTCCTAGATTTTATAGTCTGATAGATTTGGATTTTTAAGCGTATAGGAGAAAATGGTTCTTTTAAAAGAAGGAAGCATTTTCTTTCAGAGAATAGAGGTCTCTGATCCTGTTGAGTTACTATGGAAATGATAACATGCAAATTTTATTTTGCACTTAGCTACTATTGATCAGAAGAACTTGAGAAAGGTTTAGAATTGTTTTCTTCACAGAAAGAAAAACGGGAGTAGTGTGGTCTTGGAAGAGCCCCTTCTGTCTGGGGTAAAGTTAGTCAGCCTTTCCTAAGCAAGAAATAATAAGACTAATTTTAATTCTCTTGCCATTACAGTTATCAGAATGGCAGTTTCTCCATTAAGGTATAAAATAGAGCCTGGGTAGATTAGATGTGCTCCGCATCTTCCCATCTCTCAAAGTAAAAACTACTAAGTAAGAAAATCTGTTATAAACACACTCTCTGTAGGATTTAAAGTCCGATTCAGAACAGAAGCATCAGAGATTTTTGTCACTATATTGTCCTCAGAGGGCCCAGCTGCAAACTAAGGGAGGGAGTCAGGAAGAGAGAGCCCTTCTTAAACCTAGAGATTTCTTTAAAAGGAGGTAAAAAGAGAGGACAGGGAAGGAGTAAACAGTACTGTTAATGTGAAGGACTAGTTCTATAAGGTACCTTAACTTGCTAAGTATATGTCTTTAGAGTTTCTTTTACAGACAGGGAAGCACAACCCTTTCTCTGTTAAGCTCATGAAAAACCTGGTGACACCCAAAGAACTGCAAAGGAAGTTCTTACATTTGGAAAGATTAGACTGATAATTAACCTATTCATCAGTAAAAAGGGAAATAAAAAGTTAAATATAGTAATGTCCTCATTCATTGAGAGATCTGATTACTGCAAAACCCAGGCACCCAGAACACATTTATACTTTGTCCGGGGATTGAGACGCTAGCACAGGGCTGGGATATTTTAATACTTCATAAATATTACTGAAGGATTTTGTTAAATTAGTGGAAAAGCCTGTGTGTAGCTTCAGCACCGTGTGGAAAACCAGCGTGTGTTTGACAGGAGAGGAGTGTAAGCCGACCTTAGACCCTCCCCCTAGCAGGTGAGCCCACAGTAAGGCTCCATGTCAGAGGCAGCCAGGGCCACACTGTCAGCAGCGGACATGGTAGCTATCTGTGAAGGGTGAAGGAAGGAGAACTACAAAAAGCAAATGGAAGGAATGGAGTAGTCCTAAGAATGAGGAGTTAAAATCGCAGCCTGACTCTACTTACATTTCAATGAGTGACTTTTGCTGTAGGGCTGTATTTTTGACTGTTAGAATTCTGTTTGCTTTTTCTGTTATTAGGTCTCTCTTTCTATTGAGAACAGTGAAATCTCTTAGACAGCCTCAGAAGGCATCCGAGCATAGGAAGAGACTGAAAGTGAGCCAGAGCAGGTGGGAATGGTAGCTGGAAGCAGCAGGTGGTGTCTTAGAACAGGACTGATGATGAGACCCAGGGCATAAGGTAGGAAGTAGGATAGCAGTAGAAACGAATATTATTTCTATTAAAAGCATAGAAATAAGAAAGTTTGATGATTGATATCAGCACAGGTTTATGGAATGACATTTAGTGGGGGAGCGGAGTGGCTGTGTGGCCGTGTGTATATATGTGAGTGTGAGAGAGAGACAGGAGAACAAGTTATTAATGGAATAAAGAGAGCTGAGTAGTGGGTGTCTATGGTACAGGAGCTAGATGACCATTTAAAATTAGAGGCTAATGTGAGGCAGGAAACCATAGAATTTAACACGACCAGCTACACTGAGGTTCTTTCTCTTATCAATTCTCAGGGAAATCCAGGTCCTGGCTCCTGTCCATTGAATGGAGGACAAACCAGGAAGTGGCATGACCAGTAACATACAGTAGTAGTCCCCGTTTAATGCTCAGTAGGGCAGCCAGCAGGAAGAGAGATGGGATTGTCAGAGGCAGCCCTATCAGGGGCAAGAGTGACGACCAGCATGATGTGGGAGAGAGAAAGAATTAAAAAGTAGACACTGAACAGTGTTACTGCTTTACTTTTTAGTGATGAATGTTCAGGATGATGATGACCCTCCTATGTCATTAAAAAAGATTAAATTATATTTTATAGCCTCTTAAGAAGGCAGGTAATGGTGTAATAAAAAATAGTTATTGAAGGGATATGTTCCCATTATCCAAAAGACTAACTTATGTGGAAGGGAACCATTCCTGAATAGAGTCAGATATGTGAGATATGTGTTTTATAAAAGCACACAAACACTAATTCTAGCTAATGGATATAATTAGGGTTTTTTCTTATTTAGCTTGTCTACAGGATGTGATTTCCACATTTAGTAGGCTACTAAACACTGTACTTTTCTATACTATACCACAGTCCATGCATTACTAACTTTAAAAAAAATATTTATTAAACAGCATTTATTTAAATGGGTATGTATGAATATACATATCACAAAAATTAATTCACTTGTATACTTGGCAAAGCATTGTGAATATAACATGGTCTCAGAATCTAAATTAGTTTTTTTTGTTGTTGTTTTTTAAGATTTTTTTTTTTTTAATTGGAGAATTGGGGGTATGGGAACAGACAAGTTGCTGTCTTTATTTGTTGTTGTTCTTCAGTCTATTTGTGGAGGACGTTGCTTCACTGGCCCAAGTTGGCACCATCATTGCGCTCTTCCTGGGCGAGGCAGATCAGTCTCCAGCTTCTGGACGGCTGCTCACTGCGGCTGCTGGCCGCTCACGCTGGCTGCTGGCTACACACGGGAGCCCATGGCAACCCACTGCCACAGGGGCTGCAGCCTACGCCGTGGCCGGCGACTCACGGCAGCCCATCTCCAGGTTGAGCTGTTGTTCAGCATCTTAGCTGTGGAGGGCAGTGTCACTGGCCCTCATATGTGGGATCCCAACCGGGGCCCTCTGGCGTCCCAAGCCAGTTCTTAACCATCGCGCCACTCGGCCAGCCCCCTAAATTAGTTTTTTAATGTATAAAATCCAAATAGAATAATCTATTGGATTTGGTGATTTGAAGTAATTAATAACACTTTTAAAGATGCCTAACTTTATCCCAAGATGTTGGAGGATTGGGGAAACATCTAAGTGAATATGTTTAGATAACACTTATCTCTACTGATATCTACTGGTATATTTATCAGCTTTTAGACCTTACAATTTGTTGAAAAAAACTGAAGTTGGTAGTCTTTTAGAAAAAAGATGAGTTTTTTCCAGATCATTTTATATAGTCTGTACTCTTGGTCTAGACTCACATCTCAGAAAATGTGCTCTATCATTATGCATTTGATTGCTTTAAAGGAATGTATTGCTTTACCTGATGATGACATTCTTTTAGTGTATCAGATCTTGAGTATTATGTTCTGTATTTGCTGAATGCTTTAGTAATTGAATTATTAATAGTGGTTAGAAAAGCTTTTGCCTAAATGTAAAGTAAATTCATTTTTTACCAAATTGAGTTTCCCAAGCTTATCTTCATCAGGAAATATTCAAGTAAATGTTTTTTTATTTGGTGTTTAGTGTTTTGTATGATGATCAGCTATTCATGTCTCATGTATATGTTTATTTAATGCACTTGCACTTTGCATATTACCTCACTGAAGAGTATTTTTATATGTAGGTTGTGATTATACCCAGGAATTATAACTGAAGAAATATAATAAATGTGTACGAAAATGTGTTTTTCTTTCTTCATAGATATATGGGCAATAGGTTGCATATTTGCTGAATTGTTGACTTCAGAACCTATTTTTCACTGTCGTCAGGAAGATATAAAAACAAGCAATCCCTTTCATCATGATCAACTAGATAGGATATTTAGTGTCATGGGGTTTCCTGCAGGTAATTTATTTTCCTTTTCAAAATATTTGAGTCATATTTCAAAATCATTCCTTTTCAAAAGCACATTTTAAGTATTTTCATTTTTAAGCTAAAATAACTAGGAGAGTTTTGATAAAAGTAGCACACTATTTTCTATAACAATATTATTCAATTTTCTTTTAAAGATAAAGACTGGGAAGATATTAGAAAGATGCCAGAATACCCCACACTTCAAAAAGACTTTAGAAGAACAACGTAAGTAATTCCATATTAAATATAAGTAGTCACTTCAGTGGAAACTATTTAAATTAATCCTTTAAAAAAACAGGTATAGATTATTATTTAAAGCAGAAACTTCGATTTTAGTATATTAATTATACCTATGATTTAAAGAAGTTATTCCAGATGTTGTTCATATATAGGCTAGGAGTAGACCATAATATTTAAAAACATCCAGGAATTTAAGGGTCAATAGATAGTTTAAATGTCTCTTCTGTTTTAGCATGATAAAAGGCTCAGTTCAAGGCCACCACTGTGATTTTATTTTGATCTGAGTAATGACTGGTGACTGAAATGCTGGGCTAGCAACCAAGAAGGATGGCAGAAGGAAGAACACGTGGCTTGGGATCTGAGGCACTGGTGGGGACATGTACATTGAGTAGAAACAAGAGGCGGGAAAGGTGATGGCATGGGAAGAGTTTGTTATAAATATGCATGCCTAGAGGAAAAGATCGAAGAGGTTCTCTTTTGAGTAGTTTAACGGAAAATTTTCAGGACAGGATGGCTTGTAGGAACAAAAGCAGACATCATAAAGAAAAGTAGAGAATGGCACTAGTCACTTTTGGCCCCTCTGTTAACGCAGTCCTTGGTAGGGTCCTTTGCCTCTACTCATCTATTAAAAAAATAAAAACAAAAAAATAAACAACGATGGTTAGATGCTCATTGTCAGACTCAAAGGATCTGCTACTCCTTGTCAAGAGGAGTGCTAACCTTCTCTCCTTTCATACAACACCTATCCATCTCAATAAGATAACACTGATATTGCTCAAGGTTTTCTCTTCTCACTCTAGACATTTTCCCAGGCAGTCTCCATGATTCTGATGGACACAATTTACCACCAATTATGCAGATAACTCACAATTTATATATCCTACTCAGATCTCTTTTCCAAGTTTCAGACCCATTTGTCTAATTGCCTTGTGGAATTCCAACTTGAATATTCCCTAATTACTTCAAATTAAATGTCCAAAACTGAATTCATCATTTGTCCTCCTAAACCTCTCCTTCCTATCTTATACTTGTGATACCTTAATGATACTACTCAGTGTACATGATTCACCTAATTGTTGAAGCCAAAGACATGAGAGATATCCCTAATCCTTCTTCTATCTCACTCTTCATTTAAACCCCCTGCCCGCCCCTGAGGTCCAAATAGTTAGTATATCTAGTTAGTTCTTTGTTCTAAATATCCTTTGAATCTTTGTGTTTCTCTCTATGTACCCTGCTGTTATGAAAGTGCAGACCACCACTCTCTCACCTAGAATCCTGCAGTGGCCTCCTAAGTGGTATTCCTACCTGCAGTCTTCATTCCCACTCACTGTCTTTACATTGTTATTACAATCATTGCTAGTAAGTAAATTTGATCGTGTCAGTCTTCTAGTTGCTCTTAAGTCACCTTGCACTCTATTCTTTAATACAGCTAACAAGGCCTTGGCCTCTACATCACCAAATTCATCTCCTAAACCACTCTCCATTTTACACTCTGTAGCCCAGATGTCGTGAATTTCTTGAAGAACCTCAAACACCCTGAGCTCTCTTTATACTCTGGATTTCTACACATGCTTTTACCTCAGTTTAGGATATACTTTCCTCCCTCCCATTTCATCAGAGTGACTCCTCTTCCTCTTTATCTTTTCGCTTATCCTTTAGGTCTTGGCTTGGGCATCACTTACCTGATGAGTCCTCCCCTGACCTTCCAGGTCTGAGTTGGACACTCCCTCTTGGCTCTCCTGCAGCACCCTGTGCTGCCTCCCTCTGCACAGATTACTTAGCACTACAGTTAGCTTTTGAATACTTACCTGCCTTTCCCTCTAAATAGTATGGGTCATGTCTATTTTACACATCATTATATGCATCCCCAGGGCCTGGTACATAATACATGCTCATTAGTTACTTGTCAAGTGGGTATTCAGAGAAAGTGGTTCAAGTAATTAAAGATGCACTAATAATATAAAAGATGGAGAAAATTAATGAAGGCATTTAACTTAGTATTTAAAGATCAAAGGAAATTTTTTTTTTTTTTTTACAAAATATGGTAGTGTTCACAACAACCAGAAATAAAAGGAGAGAAATTTCAAAAGATAAGTGAAATTCAGTTAGAAAAGGAATAGGAAAAGTTTAGAGATCAGAGCCCATGCTTCCTAAGCAAACAGTTCTACCCACACAAAAGCAGACTACTGATACATAAGACAAAATGGGATTTATTAAAAATTAGCTAAATCTAACATAATACATGTCATGTCCGGCACGACAAGAGCAGTGGGAAACGAGAAGGGGCGGCGAAGGGTTAAGAAAGAGACACAGTAGCCAAGAGTTACATGCAAGTGGGCCAGCGGACTCAAGTCTCTCCAAGACTGAGCCCCCAATCGGGCCAACGTGTAGCTTTTATTGATACCTCAATCAGGAAGTGTGATTGAATTTTCTGTGGTCTGTGAGTCTCATGCCTGAGAACTTGTTTAAACCGGATTACCCATGCCTGCAGGCTGCCATTACTGAAAGTCCTATTGTGTTCCAACAAATGCTATGCCTTCATGCGCGCATGTGCGGTGCAGGACCCCCAGAGATAAAGTCGTTATGCTAAAAACTCACTAAAATGGATATATCTCTAAACCTACTGATAAGGGGATTGGGAGTCAGCCAATATCGGTCCATCGGGTCCCAGCTTTCCGGGGCGCCCCCTGAGGAAGCTTTACAGGAATCATTCCTCCCGGTCTCATGGGGTTCGAGACACCTCCTCTCTTTTAGGAGTTGGCGTGGGAGAACAGACGGCTGGGCAGCTGCGTGGCAACAAACACGTACACGTCACTGAAATAAAATATAATTTTAAAAAGTTCCAGAAAATATTATTTCAAATGGCATAATAAGTAAAAGAATAATTTGTTTTCCTTATATCAGATAAAAAGAAAAGAACTCCAAAACTTATTCTCAAAGTGAATCAGGAAAGATAACAATAGAAGTTTCTATATTCTTTCTAAAGTGTCAGCACTTAGCTCATTAGAAGGCAAGGTCAAAATAGAATTAAAAGCAAATCATTAAGTTGACTTTAAAAATTGAATGTCCAAACAAATGTGGTCTGATAAAATGCTTCATAATGTATATAAAGAATTTAAATTGCTTTGAAAACCGTTCTGCTCCTAAACTGTTGCAAATCAGGAAGAAGATAATTCAGAAAATGACAAACAATTCAGCTTAGCTTTAATACTAGGAAAGATAAGAAGAAACCTCCATGGGAACTGAGCAATAGGATTGCTCAGGTTTAAGACCTTTTATATCATAATAGAAACAAATAACCTGGAGTCTGGTGTTAACTCAGTTGATTCAACGTGGAAACCAAAAACAAGTAGACAGATTCCATTTCTACATAAACTTGAAAGTTTCTTCCCATCCAAACTTAGTGGGTACCTTGGCATAAAACTGTTCCTGGTATTGGAGGAAAAGTTGTTTTGTTTTTTTAATTAATACACGTGGCAAAGGTTTTTTAAATGAAAATACCCAGTGTTGGCAAGGATATAATAAAATGGACATTCTTACTTGTATGCTACTGGTGAGACTGAAGGCTTCTCAAACTTTAATGTACCTACAGATCACCTGGGGGCCTTGGGACATGGCCTGAGAATCTGCATTTCTACAGATCTGAGGGCCAGGTTTGTATAGCGAGGTTCTAGAGCACATAAAAAGGCTTTGAAATGTACATATCCTTTGATCTAATAATTCCAAGAATTTATTCTGTGAAAGCAATCAGGGCAGCCTCATGCAGACAATTGAGTGCTTACTATGTGCCAAGCATGATGCTAAGCCCTTTCCCTACATTTTTTCATAGGATCCTCATAACAACTCTATGAAGTAGGTATAATTATAATGCTCATTTTTCAGAAGAGGAATCTAAATCCTTTCCTAGAGATTGATTAACTGCCCAAGATCACAAAACTGGTAAAGGACTGAGTCAGGGTCTGGAAGGGCTCTTAGAATCTCACCTGCTCTGCAGTATCGTCGCCCTACAATGTGTCCCAGATTTACCTCCAAGGACCTGCATTTCATAACTATTGTCAAACAAACAATATTAGTAACAGTAGGAGATGTGCAACCACCCAAGATAATAAGTTTAAAGAGCATTTGACAAGGAAAAATGTTTAGGAAACAATATTAAGTGAAAAAATTTGGAACAATTCATACAGTACGATCTCAATTTTATGAAAACAAAACAAAAATCCCTCAGTGTTTGTATCATTCATACATATATGTGTGTATATATAAAAATGTCGAAGGAAAATTATCAAAATCTTGACAATGGTTCTTTATCATTGAATGGTTTGCTTATGAGTGATTCTAATTTTCTTCTTTATACTTTTCTATATTTTCTAAATTTTCTACCATGAACATATGTGGTACCTATTTTTAACCTTTTTAATTTCAAATGTTTCATATATAGAAAGAAAATACATGATGAAACTATGATATGTAGTCTGTTTAGAATAATGAAATGAATACCCATTTACACACTCCTCAACCAAAGAAATATAATATTATGAAGATTAGTGAAGTGTTCTTTGTACCCTCCCTTCCTGCTCACATCCCTCCCAAAGGGTAGCCACTATTCTGAATTTGTAGTTATCATTCCTCATTTTTCATTAGGGTTTTACTACATATGTATGTATCTCTAAATAAACTATTGTTCAGTTTGTCTTTGAACTTTCTGTATAAACAGTATCATATTGTTCTGCAATTTGCTTTTTTCCCCCATTCAACCTCTGTATTCATTTCTACTATTGTTAACATTCCATTCTGTGAATACATAACAATTTAATTACCCATTCTTTAGTAGATAGACATTTGGGTTGTTTACAGTTTTTTCTATGACAAAAATGCTGCCAAGAACATTTTTTGTCCATGTATCCTGATGTACATGTGCAAAAATCTCTTAGACTAGAGTATGTACCTAGGAAAGAAATTGCAGGGCCATAAGATACTCAACATTTTCAACTTTAATGGTTAATGCATAATTTCCAAAGTGACTGTAACAATGCAAACTCTTGCATGTGGGTGTGTAACAATTCCTGTTTTTTCACGCATTTACCAATATTTGGTTATGTGTTCCTTTTTAAGCAGAAAAGACAATGGCGTAAACATATACCTTATAAGAAAACCAACCTTGGAGCTTTCCGCTAAAAAATATAAATGGCGTGAGTGTTCCTAGTGATGTGTGATTGTTCTGTCCTTACAGGTACGCCAACAGCAGCCTCATCAAGTACATGGAAAAACACAAGGTCAAGCCTGACAGCAAAGTGTTCCTCTTGGTAGGTGCATCTCTCCCAGACTGGGAAGTCAGACCCTTAGGGCAGCGCTGAAAGCCTCATCCCACTTTCCCATGAATTCTCCCAGCTATTCTTCTCTTTAGAAAGAAGGGAAATTGGTGCAGTTGGGACAAAATTAAATATTTTTATTTTAAGATGCCATCCTTCACTTCTAGCCTTATTTTTTTCTAATGATGTGTCTGCAGAAAAATAAATTCTAAAAGGGTTTTAATGCTATTGATTTCTGTCAGTTACATATACTCGTAAATGTGTATAGTGTACCAGTCGTGCAGTGAGCTTTACAAAATGGCATTTGACATTAATCCTGGTAGACATTAATACAAAAGTCAAAACACTTACTTGTAAACAACCTTTTCATGTGCTATCAATTTCTTTCGTGTTGCTCTAGCTTCAGAAACTCCTCACTATGGATCCGACCAAGAGAATTACCTCAGAGCAGGCTCTGCAGGACCCCTATTTTCAGGAGGACCCCTTGCCAACATTAGAGTATGTACCCTACCTTTTCTGTGTTCTTTGCTCCAGGTCAAGGATGTCAGGTGGTGGCTCAAAGCAAGAGAGCACTCATTACTGAAGTGTTTTACTTTCTTGATTACTACTACCTCGGAGAAAAACGACTCAAGGTTCTGTATTTTGAAACAGGCAAAGCTGAAGAGAGTTGTGAATGAAAGCAAGTAGTTTAGGAATGACCATTAGTCAGTTTTAAGATAAAAACATAGCTGAGAATGGATGGGACTTTTGTAGATCAGTCGACCAGAACAGTTTAAAGCTAACCAGTAGGAAGCTGAGAATTTAAAATTCAGTGTGCCCGCCACCCTAGGAAACCCCTCTGTTTCGCTAGCCTTGCTTACACCCACGTATATATATTGTGCTTGGATTTATTAGAGGTGCAGCTTTTCTTGAGAAAAAAAAAGCTAGTTTCATTGTTGAAACAAATACAAATTCGCTTATTTTTATTGCTGATGAAGTTGGTGTGGAGAAACTTCTATGTCATATATGTCAACTCACTTAACAGCGGTTAGGATTTGTTATTGGACATGACCGTTTGTGTAAAACTTCAGACAATGAATTGTTCTTTTCTTTTTTTTTTTTTTTAAGATTTTTATTGGGGAATTGGGGGGATGGGAACAGTGCTGGGGAATTGGGGGAAGGGGAACAGACAAGTTGCTGTCGTCTTGTTCTTCAGTCTAGCTGTGGAGGACGTTGCTTCACTGGCCCAAGTTGGCACCATCATTGTGCTGTTCCTAGGTGAGGCAGATCAGTCGCCGGCTTCTGGACGGCCGCTCACTGCGGCTGCTGGCCGCTCACGCTGGCTGCTGGCTACACACAGTAGCCCATGGTAACCCCCTGCAGCAGGGGACTGCAGACCACACCATTGCCGGCGACTCACGGCAGCCCAGCTCCAGGTTGAGCTGTTGTTCAGCATCTTAGCTGTGGAGGGCAGTGTCACTGGCCCTCATATGTGGAATCCGAACCGCGGCCCTCTGGCGTCCCAAGCCAGTTCTTAACAATCGTGCCACTCGGCCGGCCCCGAATTGTTCTTTTCTTTAATGCTTAAATTCAGTTGTGTTGGGAGCCATCCAGCAAATAACAGCCACAGATGAAGAATAGGAAAATTGAAAAAAAAAGTGGAATTTTAAATTAACAAGGTCAGTGATATCGTAGATTTTAGGTCATGACATGTATTCTTTGTTTTTAATGATTTTTAGTGTGTTTGCTGGCTGCCAGATTCCATATCCTAAACGGGAATTCCTAAATGAAGATGAACCTGAAGAGAAAGGTGATAAGGTATGAACTGCCCAGTACATTTTCACTTCCAGAATAAGGGAGGCAAAAAGAGACGTTAATTTAATAATCTCTGTATTTAAGCGCCTTTTATTTGATTACATATGTAGTTACTGTATTGTACCTTGAAATTTGAAATGGAGTGAGCTTACAGATAAATGAACTTCCTGATATGTTTGGTAGCCTGTGTTATTCCCTGATTCTTCATTCTTGCTTTTGTTTTGTTCTGCATCATTACCATCACTTTATGCTTTTCAAAGCATCATTCTGTTCTTGATCATACTTGGAGACATAAGGCTCTTCCCCACATCCCTCGACTTTTCCAAAATCACTATTGAAAAGACCATTAGAGCTGTTAATGCGTGCAGAACCATTTCCTTTGTGCCTTGTGGTCTTCAGTGGGATATCTGTTTCTAATTTGGAGGATTACTGGGCAGTCTAAATGAACTTTAGAGAAGGAGTCCTGTCAGGGCTCAGTCCTTTGACCTGTGGGGATGTTGGGTTCCCTGGCTGCTGCATTCTCTAGTCATTCCAGTCACTTTGGTATCCCACACAGGTTGCCCCACAGGTCGGGTCAGCAGTCACATGTGCATATCAAGTAGTGAAAGAAATTTCCTATGAATATAGTTCCATACCAAGCTTGCTTTTTTTTCTTTTCCTTACAAGAATCAGCAACAGCAACAGAACCAACATCAGCAGGCCACAGCCCCTCCACAGCAGGCAGCAGCCCCTCCACAGGCGCCCCCGCCACAGCAGAACAGCACCCAGACCAACGGGACTGCGGGAGGGGCCGGGGCTGGGGCCGGGGGTGCCGGAGCAGGGCTGCAGCACAGTCAGGACTCCGGCCTTAATCAGGTGCCTCCAAACAAGAAACCACGGCTAGGGCCTTCAGGCGCAAACTCAGGCGGGCCTGTCATGCCGTCAGATTATCAGGTACTCCCCGCAATTGTGTACTTTTTAATGTTTGTGCATCTTATGAAATAGATCCTTTTAGAATGAAGTAGTATTTAACTCTGAAGTTAAGACTGTACAAACTGTACAGTTCTGTTCCTAGAGCAAATATGAAAATGAAGATTTTTGTCATATTTTTGTAATTGCAAGATATTTCTCTCTCAACTTGTTTATCCTGACACCGTGAAAGGGAAGGTGAGGCAGGCACCTCCCTCCTCAAAGAAAATTTCTCATTTTGCCCTTATAGGTGCCTGTCAGCTTTGGGTCAGAACAAAGATATCTAGATAAGCAACTGAAAAGGGAGAGAAGTGGTAGCTTATTTTGGACAAAATGAACTGTGTACTTGAGAAAGATTTGCTGTCAGTGGGTGGAAATAATCAGTAACTAGCCACATAAATATAGAAGAGAAAGGGATTAAGTTAGAGACTTCTCAGAAATAACCATTAAATCTCACTAGAAATAATTTTGAGACTAGATAATACTTTTTATTAAAAGTATTTTGATGAAAAGAGAACTATGATTGTACTACTAATTCAAGTAATTAAAGGAAAAATAACTAAGGATTGGTATTTGGAGAGAGAGATCAGAAAACTTGTGGAAAAAAAAAGAAAAGAGGGCCGGCCGAGTGGCGTGATGGTTAAGAACTGGCTTGGGACGCCAGAGGGCCCCGGTTCGGATCCCACATATGAGGGCCAGTAACACTGCCCTCCACAGCTAAGATGCTGAACAACAGCTCAACCTGGAGCTGGGCTGCCTGAGTCGCCGGTGACGGCATGGGCTGCAGTCCCTGTGGCAGTGGATTGCCATGGGCTACCGTGTGTGGCCAGCAGCCAG